AGACATCTTTGCCCTTTGTGCAATTACTTTTTATTACTAAAGAAAACCAGTTCCCTATCTTGCTATATCGCCTCATTCAGCAAATTAACATCTTTCCTCTAACAGAGCTGCATAACATATACAGTGTTAGTTAATGGTAGCTGGGAAATGTGGGGATGATTTGCTATAACAAATCAACATTCAACTCCTATGAATGGGGTAGGGCTAGTGTGAGTGCATATCAGAGGGTGAACACCCCTGAAAATTGGAGACTAACAGCTTGGAAGAAAGGTTTGGAAAGGCACTTGTTGGTTAGGAAGCCAGCAGTGTCTGCCACAAGAAAGCAGTAATGCTAAAAACAACCAAGGCTCTACAAGTAACAGCCTTAGCCACAAACCAAAGCCGCTTCTATGCAAATTCTGTATGGAGATGACATTTTCCCCATGTACTTGTTGCTTAACAACATACAAAAATGTGAACAATATTATCCTTAGGGAGCTCTAGTAGTGTAGTCCACAGTGAAATGTGTTAACCCAAAAGTGGCATCTTTATGGCAACTTTTGAATCCAACAGCTGCTAGTCTGGAGAAAGATGGGCAATCTTCTTCTGTGTGACTCACAGTGTCAAAAACCTAAATGGAGAATCAGGTATTAGTCGGTTCTAACCATACTATAATGAGAGCGCGAATGAGTGATAACCTTTGGGCACTCAAGGACATTGTGTCTGGTTTGATTTTGTTCTTGGAGAAGACATTTCCAACTTATATACATTGACTCATGTTTTATTGAAATGTTAATGTTTAAAATAGTTAATGAACATTCACAAACGTTCACAGAATAAGCCTGATGGTGTAGTGTGTTATGAATTAGACTGCTTACCTGAAGGTCACAAGCTGCTACATGAGAGAAAGACAGGCAGTCTCCTTCTGAAAGATTTATAGCCCCCAAAACTGGATGGAGGCACCTCATCTAGTTAGAATTGACTCCATAGCTTTGGGGTTTAGGGATATATAATGTATATACATTTGAATAAGTACTGATTGTGTAATGCATTATGCATTGGGCTGCTAACAGAAAGGTCAGTAGTTTGGATTTACTAGCTGTTTGATAGGAGGAAAGTCGGCAATAACCTCTCATAAAGATTTATAGCCTCATAATAGATTGAACCCTAGCTCTGGTAGCCTAGTAGTAAGAAGCTGTGCTGTGATTCCTAAGGCACTGTGTTTGAATCCACCAGCCGCTCCGGGGGAGAAGGACTGGCAATTCTCCTCCTGCGCCACAACAACAAACGATGGTATTGATTTTTTTTTTCTTTTCTAAAAAAAAAAAAAAAACAAACCAAAAAAACCCCTTCTAATTGGAAGCCTAAAGAAACATTAGGGCAAAGTATATGCATTTTTTACCCTTAACTAGAGAAAAGGATTGCATAAATACAACATAACCTGGACCAAGACTTGAGATTAAAATCTAAAAACCTGAACTCTTAAGTTTCTTCAATATAAGCTTTCCCATGTTATATTCAATGTCAAGAAGACAAAGATTCTCACCACTGGTCCAATTGGCAGCATCAGCATGGATGGTGAAGAGATTGAGATTGTATACAGCTTTAGTTTGCTTGGCTCCATAGTCAACAGTCTTGGCACCAGCAGCCAGGAAATTAAAAGGCGCATTGTCATGGGAAAGTCTGCTGTTAGGGACCTCTCCAAAGTACTAAAGAGCAATGGCATCTCTTTGGAGACTAAGGTGCGTCTGATACAGGCCATGGTCTTCGCAATCACCTGTTATGCATCAGAGAGTTGGACAATGACCAAGGAGGATAGGAGAATTGACACCTTTGAGCTGTGGTGCTGGAGAAGAGTATTGAGAATACCATGGACTGCTAGGAAAACAAAAAGATTTGTCCTGGAGAGGGTTAAACCGGGTGGCTCCTTGGAGGCAAGGATTCTGAGGCTCCATCTAACATACTTTGGACATGTTGTGAGGAGAGATCGGTCCTTGGAGAGGGACATCATGCTTGGGAGGGTGGAGGGACGGGGCAGGAGAGGAAGGCCCTCTATGAGGTGGATTGATTCAATGACTGGGATAATTGGGTTGGGAGTGTCAGAGACAGTGCGATTGGCACAGGACAGAGCGGAGTTTAGGACTGTTGTACGTAGGGTCGCTATGAGTCGCAGGCGACTCGACGGCACATAACAACAACAACAACAACATATTCATATGTTATGTGGAAAAATTTATTGTTGAAATATTCAAGAGTTATCTATGCAAAAAAGAGCAATCTATGCATTTGACTTTATCACCACCTTAAATCCATTCTTCCTAATTGATAGTCTGTTTGAAAATACTTCAAGTAGGTTTATAACTTTTAATTTTTAAAAAGTACACCAAATTCAGTGCTCAGCATAGCTTTCATTAAAAGTACATAGCTTCAGTAAAAGCTACAGTAAAAGTACAGTATAGAAAATGTTCCCCATCAGCTGTGACAAGTGACAGATGCTTTGTCATGAACTTTGAACTCTTCCTCTCAGTTTGTACCAAGGCAAGGATTCTAAATGAGAACGACAATTATTTGAAAGTAAAATTTAACAGTATTTTTATGCTTAAGTTCACACAAAATTGCAAAAATACTTTTGTGATAGCACACTTTTGGTGTGTGCACCAAACCTCATCTATTATCCTTTTGTGAAAGGATGTTTCCCTTATCTTCATTCACAGTCAGTAGAAATTTAGGCCTGATCTTTAGATTTGGTAATAAAGTGTGGTTGGATGGTGAAAAAAAGACAAGTAACAAGTTGGAATGATCAAGATAAGGGAGTTAAATGAACGCCTTCTCAATTCTAGATATTAGGTGTTGCAAGCAATATGGTCTCCTGTTGCTGTGTACTGTAAAGTCGCAACCAACCCTTAGCTGACCCTCCCTGCGGGTTTTCACAGGCAGTAAAGGAAGACCGCGCATTCTTCTCCCCCGGGGGCATCTGATGGTCTTGAAACACATGCCTTCTGGTCTGCAGCACCGCTTCTTCATTTTTTTCCAATTCCATTCCTATTCTCTTCTGCGTCTCCAAGACTCAACGTGTTAACTCCACCCCAGTCCCACCTTTTTGCTTTCCGGAGCAACTCCTTTTCAAGGGAAGGTTGCCAAAGTTATTTCAGCATCTTATTGAGGAGTGACTCGGGGTGGAATCCCTGAAAGCAGGAAAGGTGTGCGCGGTGGAAGAATTGGTACCCCTCCTTCATGCACCTCTTGGCGGGCTCAGAACTTTCCCAACCAGAGTCTGCCGCTCAAAGCACGCCCACAACCCACAAGCGAGGGACCTCCCCGAGCCGGAGAGAAACAGGCCCATCCTCCCCGCGCTTCACCAGCGGGCTCCAGGCCAGGCGCCTGGAGGTGGGGGTGGGCGAGGAGGGACGCTCACGTCACGTGCACGCGCAGGGACCTCAATAAATGTCCGCGAGGCGACCCAGACGGCGAATCCTTTAGCGCCTGCCTGGCTCTGCGCGCCACCGCAGCACCCGGCCGGAGAGCGAAGCCGCAGTCAGCCTGCACCTCGGATCCCCGCCTGTGCCTTCGCCCCTTGCTCCTGCAGATAATGCTCAGAGACACCCTAGCTTCCATCCTGGCTACATAAGCAGCTTCTTTCCTCTTCCATCTTCAGCTTCTAACTTTGGAGCCCTTTGGCAGCAACTTCTTCCAGGCCTGGAAAAGAACACGGGGTCAGAGGCTCGCCTTCTCCTAGCGCACTGGTTGCCCCGGGACGCACGGTGCGGTGCCCCAGTCATTCCCCACAAGGGGCTTCTCTGTTTTCGGGCTCGTGTGTCGCCTGGGGAACGGCTAGCGAAGGCCAGCGTCTCCTCCGCCCAGAGCTCCCAGCGGACTTCACACTGGAGAGGTAAGCGCGTTTCTAAAACGCCGTGCTGAGAGAAAACTCTTTCTTGTCTGCCATCCCTCCTTTTAACCTGCTTTCAAACGAAGGTGATTTGGAGAGAATCCTTAGGCACCCACGGTGGGCGTGTGGCGATGGAGACCAGTGGTCTCTTGCTCTGGGAAATGACTTTGTGAGTTTCACCTATTCCCTCCGGTGGCGCTCTTTCCGTTTGGGTTAAGTGTGGTGTGCCACTGGGGCGCATGATAAATGAGCATCTTTATGGTATCTGAACCAGAGGCTAGACACAAACTTTTCAGGAAATAATGTGTGCGTTCAGTTCTTGAGCAGTACTTGGGCGAGAGGAGACCTTCAGTCTAGCCATTCACTCTCTGTGGCTCACTGGACCCTGTGCGCATCTACTTTGAAGTAGTCACCCTTAATGGTTGCACAAGGTACTAAATTGTATACCTGAAATAGGTTGGCTTGGCGAACGTTGCGTTTTATACATTTCTCTGACATTGAAATTCACAGTGCTGTGCTTCCTACAAACTGATGGTGCACTGAAATAAAATTCCTTAAACATAGAAACATGAACATCCAGAGTTATAGAAAGCATTTTTGATATGTGATATGAAGCCTTGGTGGCCTAGAGGGTATAAGGAGTTGTGCTGTTAAACCGAAGGCAGACGGATCTAATCCACTACTGCTCCTCTGGAGAAAGAAGGCTATCTCCATCCGGACAGTTGACTGCCTCTGTAAACAGCTGGAGGAGGGTCAGCTTTGAGTAGATTCCAACTCAGTGGCATACAATAATAACAACAAATATATAGTACGTTTTAAAAGTTATATATAGCATATATCCAAGTTAAGACTTAAGAGTTAAAAATAATTTTCCAACTTTAAATCTGGACGCCTTTTTATTTTTTAAACTTTTTTCTTATGTGTATCACCCTATAAAATATAATACTTTGTAGAAATAATGCTTTTCTGTACAGATTTATTAAAGAAATAATGGAATTGGAGAGCAGTTTAATTTTAAAAAGTAGTTGTGTCCATTTTCTGGCACACTCTTAACTGTGTTTTAATCTTGTTATTAGAAAATGAATAGCTGTTGATATTTTCCTCTTAATCACATTACCTGTTCTTAAAGCCAAAAAGAGTGCAAGAGCCTGTCTTGGAGATCATCCCGGGGAAATCCTGAGGTCATTCATTATGAAGTGTACCGCCCAGGAGTGGCTCGCAGTAACCACAGTGCTATTCATGGCAAAAGCAATGCTCGCCATGGTGGTTCCTAATGCCACTTTGTTGGAAACACTTTTGGAAAAATACATGGATGAAGATGGTGAATGGTGGACAGCCAAGCAAAGAGGGAAAAGAGCCATCACAGACAATGACATGCAGAGTATCTTGGACCTTCATAATAAATTACGCAGTCAAGTGTATCCAACAGCTTCTAATATGGAGTACATGGTAAGGAAGTTTTAAAAGTGGTATATAAAAAGAAATGCCTATGGATGTGTTCACACTTCAATGTCTTTGTGCTATTCTTTATCTGAACTATTTGTTCTGTGTTTAAAATAATCTTTGAGGCAAGAGGATCTTCTTCTGTGTATTTTATTAATATACCTCTCATTTTTAAGAGCTCCTTGACTGTTTGAATAGCATTAATTAGTTTGAGTGTGACATTCCTTTTAAGTACTCTAATGTTTTCCCCTTACCTGGAAAGCTACTCTACTGAAATGCATGCTGGACAGCTGATGTCTTTACTTTCAAGTGATTTAATAAACTATTGTTTTCTAATTCTTAATTGATGGAAACTTCATTTGAGTGGCATATGTGAAAATTTTATGAGCCCTGGTGGTATAGTGTATTAGACCATTGATTCAAATACACCATTTACTCTGAGGAAAAGATTGGTATTCCCTACCCTTTCTGTGAAGATTTCAGCTGGATATATACATTCTAACTCAACACTCTTGGCACCAGCAGCCAGGAAATAAAAAAACGTATTGTGATGGGAAAGTCTGCTGTTAGGGACCTCTCTAAAGTACTCAAGAGCAACGGTGTCTCTCTGGAGACTAAGGTGCACCTGATACAGGCCATGATCTTTGCAATCACTTATTATGCATTAGAGAGTTGGACAATGACTAGGGAGGACAGAAGGAGAATTGATGCCTTTGAGCTGTGGTGCTGGAGAAGAGTATTGAATGTACCCTGGACTGCAAAGAAAACAAACAGATTCATCCTGGAGAGGTTAAACCAGGCTACTCCTTGGAGTAGGATTCTGGGGCTTCGTCTGACATACTTTGGACATGTTGTAAGGAGAGACAGGTCCTTGGAGAGGGACATCATGCTTACTAGGGTGGAGGGACAGCACAGGAGGGGAAGACCCTCTATGAGGTGGATTGATTCAGTGACTGGGGTAATCGGGATGGGTGTGTCAGAGGCAGTGAGATTGGCGCAGGATAGAGCAGGGTTTAGGGCTGTTGTACATAGGGTCGCTATGAGCCGCAAACGACTCGATGGCACATAACAACAACAACAACAGCAACAAATTGTTTCTTGCAAATATGTAACATATTACAGAGTACTCTTTTGTAGTGGTTTTAAAGAATGTTTTGATGATAGCTTTTTCTCTGAATTATTTGTGAATTCTAAAATATGGAAATAAGCTTGGACAATATCTTCATCTTCACCTTCCCCTTTAGAATACATTAGCAAGTTTGGAGGCATAATTACTTCTTTAAGACAATGAGTAGAATTTCTATCATACTACATAGTATTCTAAATATTTAATAAAAAATACCTTGTTGTTGTTTACCATAGAAGCAAAACTGACTCATAGCTGACCCTCTGGTAAGTTTTCAGAGGCAGTTAATCACCAGGGAGGGATTACTCATCCTTCTGCAGAGCAGCTAGGGGTCTTGAAACATGTACTTTTGGGATTGCGGTGCCGTTTCTTACCACTAGGCCACCGGAGCTCAAAGAATACGTTAAGAAAGACTAATAATATATACCTGTTGGCAATAATAAAACTTCTTTAATGAGCATTGATACTCATACTTCTAATTTGGATTCATTGCAAGATGAAGTTGATTTTAATGCATTCTTTTTTCCCCTGTGATTTATTAGTTTTGACATTTCTTTATCATTATTTACACATTAATCCTTGTAACTTCATAAAGCATAGAATTTATAAAGAACACATCACTCATTATAAAATATGACATTAAATGACTTTCACTGGAAGGATTATTTAAATAAGGTAGGAAAGAATCAGAAGCACTTAGCAGAGATTAAAAGTTGAAAAGTGAAAATTCTGCTTTTGGGGTTTAAATTCTATTACTGATAAGCACTAGCTGAGTGACTTTGAGCAATTTATTAATTTTTTTCCTACTTTCATTTTTTTCATGTCTAAAGTGTGTTCTTACCACAAATTGTTGTGAGGATGAAAGGAGATTATGTGTTAACATTTTAGCTCATTATAAGGCACATTTCTAAGGTCTTAGTAAGTATTACTAAAGCAAGTTTCATTTACTGTTAAAGTAGAATGGCTAAGGACATTGATGGAGCTTTTAAAAACTCTGCAGGATGCGACGACACCTGTAAGGTCTTACATCCTTGCTTTTTGTGTATTTTAAAGTGGTGTCTAATGTGTAGAACTGTGACTTTGATCTGAGAGCCTTGTGACAGAAATAGCCATGTATCTAACTTTCCTAGTTACGCTGTGTGCTTAAAAGCATGTGGCTATTCAGATGCTTTCTGTTTAAAATAAGGAAGAATTTGAATCCACAAAAAAGGAATCTGAGACTATTTATATATGTTGTAAGTAATATAGAAGTAATGGAAGAACAGTCTGGGATTTGTTTTCATCTCTGACTTCCAAAAGAAATAACTGCCTATTGTATGATGTCTGGCCTGGGTGTTTATATAAATTTCTTTTTTGGTTTTACTGGCTTCATTTCATCCTTGAAATGTAGATTCAGTAACAAGTTAGGGTTTATATTGTGTTGCCCTTAGATACTAGGAGCACTGGAAGGAACTGTGTCTTGACTGTTAACTGTCCTACAGGGATGTTCCTTGCTCAACTATAATATTCAAAAAAACACAGGATTTTTTTTAAGGCTATAGATTTAAGAGAAAGTGTAAAAAATATTTTGAAATAATGTTATGTAGATAGAGATGCTGTGCAACCTTGGAAAACAATTTATGCAAATGGTTACAGAGCATGTATTCTGATAGAACTTGATTTAAATCTGGCTGATGCCCTCATTCCTGTAAAATGTGCAGTGGTCTGTGATAAAAGCTGCTACTTTACACACACTATATACATGTCGTGGGCACATTGAAAGTCTAAGTAGTTACTTTGGCATTTAGTGCTTATTTTAGTCTACACTTTGTCCTTGGAAATCTGACAGCCTTGCTAATTAACATCATATCGCCCTGGTGTGTCCACTTGCTCTACAGAGGTAACTTGTGGTTGCTGTGAAGCTGAACACTGCTACACTGATATGTCAAATGAAGTAATGGTTACCCATGTTGGACCGTGTTTGGTGGAGCTCCCCAATTAAAACAAGCTTGGAAGCAGAAGTGGCATCCACTTCCATAATAGCTTGTCTCCGGAAACCCTGTGAACCTAGAGCAAGGATGAACGTCACAAAAGTGCTGAGAACTTTCGTTCATAGTGTCACTATGAGTCACCTACGACTCAATGGCACTTAACCACAAATAATACATCCTTACCTCTACTTTTAGCTTTTTAAAATTTAATAATGCGAAATATAGACCCTGGGAAGTCATATCTTTTTCTAAGGAGCTTATAGGGTGATAGAGAAAAAGACTTCTTTGAAATTTCAATGTAAGTGAGGACACATACTTTTTGGGTTTTGTTTAGAAATAATACCAAGTTTGAACAGAATTATGAAATACTTAGAGTGGTGAGAGTCAGTCAGGTGGAAGTTCTTAGTGTAAATGACTCCTTGAAGATCATTGAGACTAGGAACATGGGGAAGAGGGGAGGCAATTAGAAGGGAATGGACTAGATAATCACATGGTGATAAGTATTGACAAAAGCTGGCTGATAAGAATTAGAAACAGAGAAGTTAAATGAGAGCTCAGTACTTGGGGCATAGAAATTAGGAAGGGGAGACTGAGTTATTACTTTCATGAAATCAGATATTCTAGAAAGAGAGATTATTTGAATTTTAATTTTGAATGAATAGAGAAATTGGAGCTTTCAGGTTTTCAGATGAAGCCATGCTGTGGAGGCAATGGATTCTAGAGAGAAACATAATGGCTTTGGACCTTGATAGCAGTAAGTCCATGCTTTGCTTTTGCTGGTTGCCAGCATAGGCTTCCTTCACTGTCAGCAAGCATTCTGGCCATTGATTTTCTCATTTGTAAAAATAGATGTAAGAATGTAAACTGTACAGTTTTAATGAGATGTTTGACATTGCAGGTAATGTTCTCTCTCTCAAGCCTTTCTTTAAGACTTTTAAAAATTATTCTAGTTGTTTCATCAACCTGTTTATGTTCTGTATTAAATCTCTAAAAAGTTTATTCTTCAGATTTTTACTTTGTTCCTCTCTCTTCTTGTATGACCTAATCTACTTCTTTGACATTAAATACCATCCATATTTTGATGGCTCCTTAGTCTGTGTCTTTATCGAAGAACCTTCTCTTTGGAACTTCATTTTCATATTATCTTCTTCCCATTGGTCATCTTTGTGTGATATTATTCCAAGGTTAGTTCATGTTTATTGTGTCTAAAAAGAAAACTGTTTCATCCTTTTTTTCCACCCTCCATTGCCAACCTACTTCCCTTTCTGGATTTTCTTTCTCACTTAATGTCCTCAACATCTGGTCAGTTATTTTTAAGCTATCTGGAAAATGGACAATCCTTAAGTATTTGCTTGAAACAGCTTTCAGTTAGTTAGTCAATGCTGTTGATTCAGAACCAACTCATTGCTGACCCTCCAACAGGTTCTCAGAGGTTATAAATAACATGGAAGGAGATTGTCCATCTTTGCCCCACTGAGCAGCTGGTAGATTTGAATTGCAACGGAGGTTTAGCCTTTCCGTCACCAGAGCTGTCATTTGAAATGGCCCTAAGCAGCACACACGATTAAAAGTGCTTCCACTAGCAGAAACAGGAGTGGTATGAATCTTCCCAGAGATGCATTAGAAGAAAGACCTACCTCTCTATTCCAAAATTTCACAGCTGTGAAAACACTGTGGAGCACGTTTTTACTCCACAATTCATAGAGTTATTATCAGTTGGAATGGTTTTCAACTGCTCCCTTATTCTTATCTCCTTCCCATAGCCTTGTATCATATATACATTTCTACAAATGCTGTCAGTTTTGTCTCAAAAATACCTTGAACCCATCTTTTTTTTAACTCCTCTTTAACTCTTTCTGCCCTGCATTGCTGTCCCTTATCTTACATCAAGATCGATACACTGTCTTCCC